ACCAGCAGATTTCCCCCGTGTGATAACGTCTTATGTAATCTGAAAGGATATTTTAAATACTTTTTTTTTAACCTGTGTTCTTACCTTCATTTAGTCTGTATCCCCTTTTTCTATGTGCTTGGTCTATGATTGTAATAAAGCTATGCTATTCTATTCTGTTCTATGGTCAATAGACATATGAGTCTCTACAAAAGCTTGGAAAAGTTACTGCATTGGATGACAGTTGTCAGAATCTTTCAACCAATGTGAGTCTTGATCTTACTGGTTCAGGGATTTCTGGAGTTATTCTAAAAACAACAAAAGTTTCTTAAGTTCTGGTGCCAGCGCACTAGTTGAAAGCTTATGGTACAGACAAGTTGCTAATTTCTACCCAGGTGTTGTGTTTTGTTTTTGTTTTTAAACTATTGAATTTCCAGGCTTTTAAAACAAATCAGGTAGCCATTGTGTCAAGGGTGTACAGTAGTTATCTGCTAAATTACCCCTATACAAAACATTCTTTGTAGCTAGATGTGAAAATAAGAGTGCTAGTGGCAAGAAACCAGCTTCCTTTATGGCTTGATGCACCACCATGGTGCTCAATGCAAAACTCAATTGGCTGTGTCCACCTTCAGTAAATTGTGTGTATTGTACAGGTCTCATTTAAATTAAGGCATTTTGCTGTATGGGAACTCCAGTATATTTTAATAAGACTCTTGAAAATTAATACAGGAGGGAGCTCCAAAAGAAAAGCCTTTTGAAGATTCTGTGGTGTTACTTTATTCAGGCTCCCTTAATATCTATACACAGAAATAAAAAAGGTGCTTTACTCGAAAAGTTCCCTTTCCTCATTAATAAGTGGCAATTACACCCCCATAATGACTCCTCTGGTGTAGATGCAGAAGAAGAAATTAGTTAGGCATACGATAGTCACAGCAGTTGCTAGCTTAGCTGTACAATAGTGCAAGAACTAATGCACTTGCTTCTGAAAACCAGTTATTCATACCAACAAGAATTCACAGTTCTTCATATGCATTTTCATTATGCCATGAAGATTTATAGTGCTAGATTTTAAACACCTCTTGTAGAATAGAAACATTTGCCAATATTTGAGAGGAACTGAGAACTTTATATAACAGTTGTCAACTCGGGGAGGAGCCATAGCTGTGTGGAAGAACACATTGCTTTGTGTGTGATAGGCCCCAAGTACACTGTCTGGTATCTCTTGGTAGGGCTAGGAAACCCTGGGATGTTTGACAAGTCATATAGAACAGTGGTTGCTAACCTTGGGTCTCTATATTGTTTGACTGCAACTCCTAGCCTCCTTGTCCAGCATAACCAGTGATCACAGATGATGGGATTTGTAGCCCAACAACATCTGAAGAGCCAAGGGTAGGAACTCCTGATGTAAACAATATTTTATTTATTTATTTAAGTATTTATAGCTAGATGGACCAAAGTATAACTAGATGGACCAAAGTTCTGATTCAGTAGAAGTCAGCTCCCCATCCGGGTATCTTTTCCATAGGGCCATATCGTTCTAACAAAACCATGATGGAGGCAGGAATCTCATTGCATAAAACAGTTTTTCCCAATCTGATGCCCTTCCTGTGTGTTGGACTACAACTTCTTGTATTCCCATGTGGACTGGAAGTTGTAGTCTTCACACATACAAAGAGCACTAGGAAGACTTCCACAGGTGAAACTGTATGTGTGTCTTCCTGAGGGCATGGTCTGGGGGAAGGTCCCACCAGTGAGGCCAAAACACATGGGAGAGGGTTTTTCCTCCCCTAGAGGTCCTATTGGCACTGGCACCAATGCTGATTTCATTTAGGAACCAGGTAAAAACTTGGCTATTAATGCCTTTGGGTTACACTGATTCATCTTAAATGCTAATGCACATGGTTTTAAAGTGGATTTAATCTCTTCAACCTGTTTATATAGCTTCTTACTTGTATTTAATCTATTTACTATTTTTAATTATTTATTTATTTGTCTAGTCTTGTTTTAAATTTGCCTTCAGTGATTTTACTTGTATACCACCCTGACATCTTTTGATATAGGGTGGGACAGAAATATTTTAGTAAATAACAAACTGTCAGCATTTTAGTTCAGGCTGCATACACACTGTAGAAATAATCTGGTTTGAGAGTGCTTTATCTGCCCTGGCACAAGGCTATGGCATTCTGGGAACTGAAGTTTGTGATGGCTTGCTCTACTCTGGGGACACCACAGACTTCCAATTCCCAGAATGCCATAGCCTTGAGCCAGGGCAGTTAAAGCCCTCGAACCGTATTATATCTACAGTGTGGATGCAGCCTCAGATTGTTTTTAATAATGGGACTATGGCCACAGCCTCATTTTAAAATATGCTTTTATTGTTATTCATCCTATTTATAAATTAGCAATATGTTTCAGTATTGATAGCCTGAATCACTTGGTTTGTTAAACGTATATGCCTACACATTTTTGTGTTTTTTACATCTTATGCTCCTTGTAACTTGGATGCCAAAACAATCTAATGTCTCTTGGCGTCATAACTGAATTTCAACACATAGATTGAACAGCAGTGCTGTAGATTAGACAATTTAAAAATCCAAGAATTTACCACTT